TATTGATAATTCAGACATACATTATGCATTTTAAAGTAGACGACTTTAAAATGATATTGCCAATATTGTTGAGTTGCGCTCCTGGGACGACTTTACTTATAAGATAGTTCATTCGATTACATGAAATCAACTTTAACTTGAGAATATCCGTCAGAAAAAAATCATAGCATGTAATTCGTCTTTAAAAAGACAAACACATGACATGATGACAGTAAGATTCTCCTATTAGTGATTCCATAGTAAATTATGAGGGAAAAACCAGGAAAAAAAACCTCATAATACTATCCCGACATTGTAAGTATTTGTTCGTGAATTTAGTTTACCTTCAACAAACATCATAATTCTGATTTTATATGTTACGTTATTTAAAAAACATAAATTATGTATCCTCTATATGTTACTGACATACTAATAGGGTATTTTCTTATTAATAACTTCCTCTTTCAATATTGGTAACCAATATTTGTCCAAAACCAAACCTAACAATGAACAAGAAAGGACAAAGAATTGCATTTATAAAATACTTTGTGAATGCGATCCGTTTTATTTGGGTGAATCATCAAGGCCATTAAATGTTAGAATAAGTGAACATCAATCTTATATTAAAAATAGAGAATTTGATAGATCTCAAATCTGTAAACACGCATGGGATAATGAACATAGGGTTCAATGGAATAATTCAAATGTAGTCCTAAAAGAAACGGATGCTAAAAAAAGAAAAATCAAAGAAGCGGCTCTAATTATGCTAAATGAGGCCAATTGTGTCGCAAATTCCTCGGCAGAATGTAGTAGGATCTGGTTACCAATATTGAAAGAGGAAGTTATTAATAAGAAAATACCAGTATTAGTAAGTCAGTAACTGACACATATAGAGGATACATCATTTATGTTTTTTAAATAACGTAACATATAAAATCAGAATTTTGATGTTTATTGAAGGTAAACTAAATTCACGAACAAATACTTACAATGTCGGGATAGTATTATGAGGTTTTTTTCCTGGTTTTTCCCTCATAATTTACTATGGAATCACTAACAGGAGAATTTTTCTGTCATCATGTCATGTGTTTGTCTTTTTAAAGACGAATTACATGCTATGATTTTTTCTGACGGATATTCTCAATTTAAAGTTGATTTCATGTAATCGAATGAACTATCTTATAAGTAAAGTCGTCCCAGGAGCGCAACTCAACAATATTGGCAATATCATTTTAAAGTCGTCTACTTTAAAATGCATAATGTATGTCTGAATTGTCAATATAAATGAGTCAGATAAAATTAAATTATTAGAAGAATTTTTCACTATGCAACCAAAAACAAAATTTGTTTAATTTACTGTTTGTATTTTGAGAACGATTTCCGAAGTGGAAATTGAAACGTCAATAAACGTATTTTTATCTTTAATTGTGGCTTATTCCCAGTTAAATAGTAATTAATTTACAATGCCACAAGAAAATAGCTTCAGAACAATATTAAGTCAGTTGGTACAATTATTTTCAATATAAACTAATTATTGATGAAAGTTTTTTTTGTAATATTCTTACAACGATATTGAATAATCTGCTTTATATTTTACAGTAGCGGCTTACTGAATATTTCCATACTTACATTAAAGTTTTAATTGATTCGCTATATTAGAATTCCTGACTATCCTTTAAATTACTTCGAAACTCCTTTTATAATCATACCTATGTAAGTACGAATAACTTCCATGGCTTGTTTAAATAACTGGGATTAAAAGTGTTATAAGTATATTTTTTACTATCATTATAAAAAGTAAACTTTTTTTAACCCATATTAGTAGATAAAGTATCATTTTTTATTATTATTTTATATATTATTGATCGAAAGAGCTGAATATCATATGTGTATGGAATGACGTTAAAAGAAACAGGTAAAAACTATACTGGAAAAATGTTGTTTTTAATTTATAAATGTAAAATTTATAAATATACCAGCCATAGTAGCTCAATTTTAAATAAAGAGAAATTATTTAAAGTTTTATAATGGAAAGTTGTAGGTAGGGATATAATGCACAAAATAAAAATAAATTAAGCAGCTGAAAACTTCCAGATAGTGAGAAGAGATGGCGATTTAAAGGTGATTTGGTTAACTATATAAAATTGTGGTCTGTTTGCGGGGAGCAAGGTAGTCTGGGCACACTTTAAACTGTTTTATTGATTTATTAACAATAAACTACATACTAAAAACAAGTAAGAAAACTGTAAGAGTTCTTTTCGTTGTTGCCTCGTAGTGTGTTGTATCCGCTGGCTCTCCTCTCCTCTTCTTTTCTCCGTCGACGTTCTCTCACTTCGGTAGCATAGTCAACCCATATGTGGCTGGAGGTTAACTGTCAATCTGCCACAAAATTTTTAACATAACCTCAAAATTATCGAGAAATATGAAACAAATCGATTTTTTCGATATTTTCGTTTTTTATTTTTGCTTCCTGCTAAACTTATTCAATGTTAATCAAAATGGGAGATAATATACTTTAATATGTTCTTAATTATCACAATTTTTTAGAATAAAGTATTTAAAAGTTCCCGAGATATTCGTGCTTTTTCGAAAAAACTTAAGGTGCAAAAACAAGAAAAAGTATATCATCATTCTGGCTTTACAATCCTGTGTGGATCCTAGCAAGAATTTCTCTCCAGTCGCCCCTATCAAAGACCTTCCTCCGCCACGCACGTATTCCCATATTTCTTATGAATTTATCGATGTTATCAAGGAACCTTTTTCTGGGTCTTCCTTTTCTTCTCTGGCCAATAGGCTTCTCTGGCTTAGAATAATGTGTGGATCCTAGCAAGAATTTCTCTCCAGTTATCCCTATCAAAGACCTTCCTCTGCCACGCACGTAGGTATTCCCATATTTTTTATTATGCCTTTACCGATGTTATTAAGGAATCTTGTTCTGGGTCTTCCTCTTCTTCTCTGACCAATAGGTCTATCAAGGAGCGTTTTTCTAGCGAGGTCATTTTGTTCCATCCGCAATACATGCCCTATCCACCTTAGACGTTATATCTTAATATATGAAATGAGGTTGAATGCTCGAATAAATGAACTTTGAAAATAAGGCTATTATCGAGCACAAGTTAATTAAATCTAGCCCAAGTACTTTCGCTTAAAATAGCATCTTTAGGGGCATTTCGTCAAAACTCTCTCTCTCTCTCTCTCTTTCTTTTGACGAAATGCCCCTGAAGATGCTATTTTAAGCGAAAGTACTTGGGCTAGATTTAATTAACTTGTGCTCGATAATAGCCTTATTTTCAAAGTTCATATCTTAATATGTTTTACGATACCATATTCCTGGTATATTCAATAACGTTCGAAGTTGTATTGTCTTCTCCACACTCCATTGTCATTTACTGCTCCATAGATTTATCTTAGTACTTTTCTTTCGAAACATCCTAACCTGATTTCAATATTTTCTGTTATAGTCCAGGTTTCTGAACCATATGTTAGGACTGGGCGTATTATTGTTTTGTAGAGTTTTATTTTTGTATTTCTAGATATAATTGTGGATTTAAGGAGAAGATTGAGCCCAAAATAGAATCTGTTGGCCGTGCAAATGTTGTGGTGTATCTCTGCGGTAGTATTATTTTCAGTGTTAAGGGGCTCTCCCAAATATACAATACGAGTGATATACAATAGGAGTGATAAAATTGACCTGTACCACTAGTTCGAGACTATATTTGTCTCTTTGTCTTTTGATCCACTTTCATTGAAGTGTTTTCTGTAGCAACATCTAGGTATAACTTTCAGAAGTCGTTTCACAACTGCAGTTAATTGTTTTTAATAAATTCTTTGGGATGACTCCTGTATATTGTGGCATGAGTACTTTTGTGAAATTGCTAATGATTTCTGTCCAATCCCTCTTGGCAGTGGCGGCTTTGGGGGTAGGCAGGATAGGCCGGGCCTACCCAATAATTTTAAGAGCTTTAAAATTGAAAAACATATATTCAAAAATTATTTTAATGCATGTAAATAACTAATGTACTAAACTCAACTTAACGTCCGTTAAAACAACTATGTTATTATATTAACACAGAAAGCATCGAATCGTATTCAGGCATTTTAAATCTCATTAATAGGCCCGATCGGAACTGGCCGACCCAGCTCACATAAGATCCTCGTACAAAAAGCGTTTGAAGTTAAGCAGCTTGCCGGACAACGATTTTATTGTCGTGTTTATGATTGCTGTTTAGGCACCAGACGATCGGGCCTACGCCGACCATCGTTGTCACTTGTAACGTAATTATCGAATTATAATATAAATTTTCTTTTAAATTATGATAAAAAAATATGTAACATAATCTATAATTGTAACAAATTTTAAACAAACAACACAAATGTGTTGTATGAGAACGCCATAAATAACTCCACATTTTTGGCATGCATTCTTGATGAAACAACCGATATTACTGAAAGGGCACATTGTTCAATAGTATGCAAATTAGTGGATACAAAAGGCGTTGTTCAAGAATATTTCTTAGGTTTTTTTGATCTAGGGGAAGACCGAAGTGCTCCAGCGTTACGTGACTTACTGTTTAGTGTAATTGGTAAATTTAGTGTAATTGGTAAATTAATTGCTCAAACTGACGATGGAGCTAGAGTTATGTCGGGACAACTTAATGGCCTTCAAAAATTAGTGAGAGGTTCTGCTCCATTAGTAATATTTACCCATTGTTTCGCTCACCACCTCAACTTAGTTTTACAACAAAGTTGCTCCAACATTACAACAGTCAAAATATTATAATTGAATTCAAATGCAAAAGTAGTATATGCTGTGTCACAAGAAAGAAAAAAAATTGTTACAAGTCTTTCAGGACATAATGAATTGTCCAGAATTAAATGCAAAATCAGTTAGGCATGCAGATGGTTTTAAACGTAAGTTGGGGGATTTGGAATTTGTATTTTTATTAAATGTTTTTAGTGATATATTTTCAACAAACTGAGCTCTTATACAACATCTTGCAGAAGAAAAATAATTATGTTCAATGTGTGCCAATTCAGTGTCCAGAAGTGCTGCAATATTAAAGAGCTGGAGAAATGACCTTACATTTCCTAACCATTTCAACATTGCTGTTAGCGAAACCAATTCTACACTTATCCTAAGTCGTAAGTAGTAAACTTGATATTTTACCTGGTAGTTCATCTCATAGCGGAGATCAAAGTTTTTTGGAGAAACCTAAAACTAAATGTAGAAGGATCTTTTTTGAGATTTTGGACAATATTATCACTCAATTAGAGCAACGTTTCTCGGATTACAAAAAGTTTCAATAACTGGAATTGAGCGATAATAAAAGATTCACAGAATATGGCGCTAAATTTACGATGTAATTTGCTGGCTTGGCCTACCCAAAATTTTACCACACCAGCCGCCACTGCCCTTGGTAGCACTTATTTCACTACATCGTGTTTGTAGTTGAAAATATGTTTTATGAGAATGTCTGCTCCAGTAGTGGGTGCTAGTAACTACTACTAGTACTACTACTACTAAGTCAACTAGTAACTTTTCTAGTTGAACATTGATCTTGCTGTCAATCATTAGTATTGGTGGAATTAAATAAACTAAGAAATGTATAAAAATTTTGAAATACGTACTTCTATGTCCTTTTAAATTTTTTCTTTCTTTTAATTTTTGACCAAAAAAATCAATTTTCTGGAAAGTTGTAAAAAAAATTCTGGAAAATAAATAATCGAACTTTTGTAATAAAACGCATTTAAAATATATACTAATATATATAAGTAGGCAAATTTCTCATTTTCTAGGTCGCTAACCGACGTCGACGAGTTTTTAGAGAAATGCCCAAGTAACTAAGTAGATACAGTAGATATATATACTCAAAATATACAACTTTAAGTACTTCTATAACTTCATTTTGTGTACTTGATGCATAAGTTGCTATTTTGATTATTATAAAACTTCTGGTAAAATCATCAAGATTGTTTTGTTTATATATTTATTGATACTCATACTCTTCTTTCAGAAAATCAACTGCAAGCACCCAGATTTACGACTTCTTCTTTGAGCGTCAGCATCATTAGGCTAGGAACAACAAAAATTGTGCAATGTCAAGCATTCGGTAAGTAATTATTTATAATAAATTTATAAGTATTATCAATATATCAATATCAATATTGATAGCACAAGATGAAGATAGTCTGCAAAGACTGGTCCACATATTTAACATAGAGTAAAAGAATTTAATATGGCAATTTTATCTCAGAATACTAAAACAATAGTAGTCAGCAAAGAACCAACCAGATTGAATAAATTGATGGCATCAGTATTGAAGTAATTGAAATAAAATATCTGGGAATTACACTATGCAGCTATTGAGATTTGGACAAAGAAGTGAGAGATCAAGTACAAAAAGCAAATAGACTCTCAGGATGCCTAATAGCACTATATGCCGAACAGATACATTTACAGTGAGATGATGTCAAGATTTATAAAGCCAGTGTAAGACCAATAATGACATATGCCTCAGCAACAAGACTCGACACAGCCACAACGCAAAGGCTACTGGAAACGTCGTCAGAGATGAGAGTACTGGAAAAAGGAATGGAAGAGACCTGTGACGTCAAAATGGCAAGAGATAAGTCACCAATCGGCAAGAGAAGTATCGGAAGACCGCGCAAAAGATGTAGTGACAACCTTCCAGAGGTATTAATCCGCCAGTGAACACATTGTTTATAAAGAAGAAGAAGAAGATATAAGTAATATATTGTCAAAATGAAGATTTCCGCAGTTAGTACAATTAAACCTTAGAGCTAAGTTTAATACTATTACAAAAATAAATATTAAACTCAGCAGTCTTCCGGGTTGAATCGCGATAATTCTCATTACGTCGAGCTTTCGACATCCTGTCTGATGTCTTCTTCAGGGCTTCCGAGGTATTAGTCTCTCGAGCCCCCAGACACTATTACATTGATCACCAATCGATGCACTACTTCCAGTAGGCCAGGGTTTTAATAGTTAATTATGACTTAACGCTATGTAATTTGGACAATTTTTCTCCTTTGTTCACCACAAATTTTATACTTTTTATTCCTTGGAATCATGCCGAGCGCTTCATAAGCTACTTCATTGATTTTATTTATTATGTATAAGTAGGTCGGCTGAGGAGTAGATTAGGTTTGTTAATTATTGGTTAAGCCGAAATTTATATAAAAAAAGATGTTAAGTCATTTCGCAGTGTATCTATATTGTGTTAAGATGGATTCGTGTTCAGTGATTTTGAACAATAATAAAATCCAATTTATTGAAATAAATTGAAAAGCTAAAAGAATGGGAAAACTACATTTCTGAATTATTTGAAGATGAGAGAGTAGAACACTATACACCGATTGCTATATCAGGTCCATCTATAACAGAAAGTGAGGTAAGACTTTCAATACAAACGGCAAAAAATGGAAAAGCACTTGACCCCGATGAAGTAAGTGCTGAAATACTAAAGTTTTTGGGAGAAAATGGAATTAAAGCTCTGTGTAATCTCTTTAACAGAATTTATGACACTGGGATATTACCAACTGATTGGTTAAAGTCGACATTTGTCACAATACCTAAGAGACATCGTCCAAAGACATGCGGTGATTATCGGACAATAAGTCTGATAAGTCACGTTTTGCAGATCTTCCTGCGAGTAATACACAGCAGAATGTACACGCTGTTAGAGGACAGAATTAGAAATACTCAATTTGGGTTTAGGAGTGGCTTGGGTATAAGAGAAGCCTTGTTTAGTATACAGGTGCTAGTACAGAGATGCTGAAATATAAATCAAAATGTGTACATTTGTGCAATCGATTTTGAAAAAGCTTTTGACAAAGTCCGACATAACAAAATGCTAGAAATATTGGAAACAGCTGGATTGGACGATAAAGATCTACAAATAATTACAAATCTATACTGGCATCAAGTGGCAAGAATAAAGGTTGAACAAGAACTGTCGGATGAAATAAATATAAAAAGAGGAGTGAGACAAGGCTGTATATTGTCGCCTTTACTTTTTAACTTATATTCGGAGGAAATATTTAAGGAAGCCTTAATGGAGACAACCAAAGGTATTATTATGAATGGAGTAACCGTCAACAATATTAGATATGCCGACGATACCTTAGTCCTTGCCAATTGCGGAGAAGACCTTCAAAATCTAATGAACAAAATAAAATAGACTTGTGATCAGTATGGATTAAAATTCAACGTTAAGAAAACTAAATATATGATAGTTAGCAAACAAAATTATATACAGGATGACGGTATAAAAATCGGAGATGCCACACTGGACAGAGTAGAGAAACTCGTGTATCTCGGCAGTAATATCAATGAGAGCTGGGATCCAACCGCAGAAATTAAAAGCCCAATAGAACAAGCCCGAGCTGCCTTTGTAAAAATGAGAAACGTACTTTGCAGTCACGATCTTAGCATTGACCTTAGAGTTCGTATGACATCTTGCTACATCTTTCCTGTCCTGCTGTATGGAGTGGAAGCGTGGAAAAATATTAACTGAGGCTATGCTTCAACGCTTGACAGCCTTTGAGATGTGGCTATACAGACGACTACTGAAAATAAGCTGGGTCGACAGAGTTAGAAATGAGGAGGTCCTTAGACGGCTGAGCCAAACAACACAACTGGTCAATATAATAAAGAAACGCAAGCTGGAATACTTCGGTCACATTATGAGATACCCTGAAAAATATGATCTTTTACATCTGATCATTCAGGGAAAGATCCAAGGTAATCGTGGTCCTGGTAGAAGAAGAACATCATGGCTGAAAAATCTAAGGCAATGGTATGGAAAATCAACTACATCGTTATTTAGAGCTGCTGTCATAATAAAGTCACGATAACGAATACGGTAGCCAACATGATATCCAACGATCGATAATGGTCATGGAACTAGAAGAAGAAGAAGAAAACCCAATACAAACATCCAATAAAATGGGGAGGAGACTTATTTTTAGAAGAATGTTTTTTTAAGCAAGATAAAAAAGATTTGTAGTTAGTTCATTATCGGATTTTTTTATCTACAAAATTTTATTCTATATTTGATTCTTATCTGTCTGTCATTAATTCCTTGTTAATATAGTCTTTACACCCATTATTGATTATATTATTATGCTCTGCCACCAGAAAAATTCGTATAATTATGTCCGCTTTAATACAAAGCCTGCAATACGATGTTATTTTTTTCTGGTATTTAACTTTTATATTTATTCACAGTATTACTACTGTGTATTTATATAAAAAGTAAGCGTGTGCAGCATCCGGTGCTATAAATTCATTTTTCGCTTCCTTTGAAAACGACTGCATCATAACCATGTAAATTTTACAGCACCGGCTGAGATATTCACTCTAACGGTCTTACGACGGCATTGTGTATAGTGTTATCTGAAATATATACAAATCTTAGTAAAAAACTTATTATTTCTTCTTTTTAAAGTAAATTCTTTAACTTTAAAAATCATTAGACAATATCTTCTTCTTTTAAAGTTCCATCTCCTATCGAAGTTGGATATCATAACGCTATGGTCACTTGTTGGCTGCTGCTCTGAAAGTTGTAGTGAACTACAGTTAAACCATTCTCTAAGGTTCCTCAGCTAGGAGATGCGTCTTCTTCCTATGCTTCTTCTTCCTTGGATCCTTCCTTGCATAATAATTCTCAGCAGCTCATATTTTTCTCCTCTGGTTATGTGACCCAAATACTCTAGTTTTCTTCTTTTTATGCTGTTCATAATTTCTAACTCCTTATTTAGATGTCGTAGTTCCTCAGCATTGGTAATCCTTTGAACCCACTGAATTTTTAACATTATTCTATAGCACCACATTGTGATTTCCTTTCCTTTCCTTTTTATCATCTACTTTTGTTAGCTTTTTCGTAACATTTTTAAAGGCCATTTACAAGAACTCGTACTAAAATAAGACCTGGAATCAGTGCAAAGATTCCAAGACAAAGGGGCATACACAGCAAATTGTCTCGCCTGAATCAAGTATGATGAAAGCCTGGTAATATTTGATTAAATAATTGAATCCCTATATATTAACTCTTAAAGTATTTATTCGCTAGTAAATTTGGTCTTGTTTAATGTTTAACTTTTTTCTTCTTTACATTTGTTAAATATGGCTGCTTACTAATGTTTTTTTTGTAAAGTGGATTTTGTGCATATGAGCTTTTTGACAATGGCTAAAATCCATGAACTTAAGTTTGTAGTGTTGGGTAATCCACCGCATTCACCAGATTTGACCCCTTGCGACTTCTATCTGTTTCATTACCTAAAAAGATTTATGCGTGGAAAGCGCTTTTCATCAAATTATGAGGTCAAAACTGATCCAGATTCTCACTTCAAAGATGAAATTCATAAATTGGTATCTCGTCGAAACAAGTGTTTTAATGTTTAGGGATACTATACTGAATAATAAAGTGTATTTCAAACGATAAAATGATATTTTTCTCATTGAATCGCAAAACTTATTAAACAGTCTATTAAGTATAGCGATATACGTAGGTTATAAAATTGGTGTGATTGTTAAAATGGCATTGATTATCATAACATTTCTTTGAAAGGTTCGTTTTTAGGTTTTCGGTAATTGACTGCACATCTAGTTGTGGTAGTAGCTTTATATGCACTTTCGACCACGGCTGAATATAAAACTACATATAACAGTCCTATCCTGTCTATTCAACAACAAGGAATTTTTACTATCCCACAACCATCCGCCATTTGTTTACTATTTCCGTGAGTATAACGTAAACTAGCAGTTTTACATGTTTATTAAGGCCTTTACGAGCACGTGCTACATAAAAGCGAACGTTTAAATTCACCATCGAATTGAATACCACCACCGCCGCCGCGATGCCGATGCCGAAGCCGACGAAAGCTACAAAATAAAACCTAGCAGGAACAAACACCAGACATTATGATATTTTGGATTTATGACGACGAAATGCTGCTCGTCAATGAAATATAAAAGACTTTACGAAAGGTTTTATAAAGGAAACGGCTTTTAAAAAGCGAAAAGCGTTAAGAAACTCTTAAGTTATAAAAAAATATATTTTTGGATATGTATTTCAACAACCGTAGA